GTCCTTTAATCATTATTTTTATTTTATTTAGTGCAGACAAGAGAATAAAAAGGGAAGAAATTTCACATTAGTTTCCTAAAACAGAGTTTCAAACAACAATGGTATGCTAGTAAACAGACCATAAAACAATAACGTTCCATTTTATGGTATTATTTTGGTTATTCTCAGAATAGGGAAATTTTAAAAGGAGAAGTTAACTGAAAATAGGTGGCTTGTTTTAGAATTTAATCACATTATTTTCTTCTAGATTCTTAGATTTTCTTTTTCACTCCAAATGTACTTCATCCAAGGCCAATATTCCTTTCAGTTTTTCCTGGCTATTCAGACTGTTCTTTTAGAATCAGTTACTGTTTTACTCATCCTCCTCCATATCTGTGGCTCTGTCTCTCATATTTCTCCACTTCTTGTTAGAAAGGTGCCAGTAGAGCACATTGAAACACTGACAGTTTTTGGAGGCTTCATTGTTATTGGTATTATGTTGGTTTCTCCCTCTGTGTGTATAGGTGGTCGGGCGTAGCGATTTTAGATTCTTCTACTGCAATAGAAAATATTTTCAGAAAAGTCACTTCTCTAAGCGCAAAAGCTTAGTTTAAAAAATTGGTATTAGGTCTGTTTACAGATATTCATTTTGCTAAAAAAAATTGAGCTTTTGAACTTCAACGAACCAACTCACACTGTCCACATGAATAATAAGGCCAGAGGCTTTCCTTTTTTCTAATACAAAGATTGTTGGTTTGACGATGAAGGTGGAGATTTAGAAAATTCTTCAGACTTTGGTATGTGGCGTATGGTGGTGATTATTAGGGCTCACTATTTCTGACCACGTACAGCTTTAGGTAAATTGATAATCATTTTTGATGGAAAAGCGCAGTGAGGATCAAAGCACCTTGACTGAAGACGTTTGACAACATTTCCTCCCCGTGTATGTTTTACAGTGCGTGCTCTTTGACATGTGCTGGCCTACTTCTATTTCATGTGAACTACTACTTTGTTACAATGTTAGTTGCTGTGCATTTGTTGTGAGCTTGAATGCAAGTTTTGATCAGGCTATTTTCTTTTGCATTTTTGTTATGTTTCTATTTCTTATACTGCATGGCAAGTTTAACATTTTGAGGTGGTTTTTTCCCTAAAATTTCAAACTCCGACTATCAATGTTCATGACTCTGAGATGCAATTAATGATGACTTGGGGGACGCTTTTAAAACAGTATTTACCACACATCTCTAAATTCTGCAAAGAAGATCTTCATTATCTTGTAAGACTACTATATAAAAATGTATTTTCATGATATGGTTACTTTTAAAGTCATATGGCTAAATTATTGAATATAATTTTACCTAAAACATGCATTTATCAATATTTTTCCATGAAGTCTAAAAGGACAGGGGTTTATGTTCCTAGTTTCAATTTTTTGGTAGCTTTCATGATATCTTCTGGCTTCTTTTTTGGGATGTCTGTGTAGGCATGTCTGTGTCTCTTACTCTTTTTATCTTTTACTTTCTCTTGTTGTCTGACTTCTCCAATTTTTCTTTTCCTTTTCTTCCTTTTCTCTTTTTTTATTAAAGAAAAGTTGGAGTGGGAACACAGTATGGAGTTGAAAGTGAGCAGATTCTTTTAGCTAATTTCAATGTAGTTTTTTTTTTCTAAATAAGGAATGCATATCCATGCTGTCATAGAGATGGTCACTTTGGGGAAGAGCCAAACGATGTCTTTCCTGCTATGTCACAATACTCACTTATTGTATCTTCCTCATCGATTCACTTATCAAGAATTACATCTCTTACTCATAAAAGTCTAATATTTTATATTTTAGTATGTTCTGTTGTCTATGTTTAAAATACCATGGAACAAAAAGTAAAATTTTTGAGAAATAAACCTTTTCTGGGGCAAGCGTTTAGAGTGTATGAACAGAAATGTAGGATGCTAGGAATGAACTGGGGTCAACTATGCAAGTAAATTTTCTATTACTCTATACTAATGAATCATAATATCCCATTTTCATTTAATAATTACAGAAAATTTAAATAAAATATGATCTTACTGTGTAGTCAACTAAAAAAAAATAAAATAAAGGCACACAAAAAAATGGAAAACTGGCTAGAGAGTTGTGAGAGTGGGAGGCCCACAACATTGTGAACTATATTCTTAAACCATACATGATGAATAGAAATTGTCTTGTCTACCGGGAAAAAAATATCTATAAGGTCCACACTTCTGCAAATTAGTTAACATAAGAACCTCATAGTGGCACATGCACATTTGCTTTACCCTCCTGGTGGAAGGTGACGTTGACGAATGTGTCCACAGACCAGTGATTCTGAACTGTAGCATCTCACGACCTGCAAGTGTTGCCACGCTGTCTTGCCCCTGCTTGGGGGTTGTAACTGCTATTTGCAGTTTGTCTGTGAGTTGTACACCTTTGCTAAAATTGAATCTTGCTGCTTTCACATACCCTGCTATGTGCCGGCGTGGTCTCCGGGAGCAGCCACGGGTAGTTGTCTTCGTCTTGAAACTGTGGTTCAGGGCATTTAGATAAATCCCTTTTCTCAATTCCTGTCCCCATTGTCCCATTGCCCTGTTTCCAATTCTTTAAAGTTACTACATTTTTGGATGATTGTCTCACTTACTCACATGTCAGTTGAAGTGGAATTGAGTTCTGATTTCCTTAAAAAGTAATATAAATAGAATTCAGCACATCATCTTTTATGATTAAATTCCATTTTTGATGATAGGAAATTTTATCCTCATAAATTTGCATAAGAATTTATGAAATAGTGAAAGAATGGAAAGTCTCTGGGTAGATACTAAGACTCAGATTTGGAACTGATGTGGAAATCACCTCCAGTTTCTATAACTCATGTAATGCCAATCTGGTCAACATGAAATGTTGAACATCATTTCATATTATTAATGATGAGTTAAAGTCATTACATCTATAACTTTTTAAAAATATGATTAGGCTTACTATGATTATAGTAAAGGCTATGATTTAGCCTTTACTGTTAAATATATCACTTTCTTTTCCAACTATGATTTTATGCCATACTAAGAAACTCTGTGGAGTCTGCCTTTTTTGAATGGTGATTAAACTTCATTTTATATTTGAAGCTCTCTTTCTTTCTTTCTTTTTTTTTAAAGATTTTATTTATTTATTTTTAGAGAGGGAAGGGAGGGAGATAGAGAGAGAGAGAAACATCAATGTGCGGTTGCTGGAGGTCATGGCCTGCAACCCAGGCATGTGCCCTGACTGGGAATAGAACCTGTGACACTTTGGTTCGCAGCCCGCACTCAATCCACTGAGCTACACCAGCTAGGTGAAGCTATCTTTCTTGAACTGTGTTTCCACAATTGCAAATTTTAAAGTGATCTAAGAGATACTATCACTATCAATATGCTCAAAATAAATTTGCTTATTATATTCATTTTTCTAAAGCTTAGGCCATAACAAGCTGATAGGAAATGTAAAATTACTTTATATGGAAAAACTTGACTTTAAAAACCATACATAATTGGTATTCATGTTGAATTGCTGATAATTTTTGGAAACGAAGTTATTAAAGCGTTATACATTTTATATAAGTTCATTTGCTCTCAACCCGAAACCTGATATTTTATCATATATTATGTAAAATAATTATGTAAAATGAATATTTAAAATTTATTTTGAGAATTTGATGTTCAGATCTGCTAATTATGGACTATCGTGTATTTGGTGTTAACCTGGAAAGCTGTAGACACAAGTCAAAGTTTGAAAGAAAGCTAGCTTTGATAAGTTTTTGGAAGAGAACAGGCTTAAACTAAAGAACTCTTCAAGCTTGATGATAAAGCTGAGCCTTCTAGGCTTTTCTGCAGACTGGGAGGGGGTAAACTGGCATTTGTGTGTAGAGGGAGAGGAAGTCATGAAAGTTTAGACATTAGAATGGTGACCACTAGAGGTTCTTCCCAGACATACTTGTTTATCCCAGGCATTTTTATGTGCTTAGTACATGCTAGACTCCTGGGATATATTGCTGAATAAGAAAGGTACAGAGCTTGACCTCCAGAGCTCGTGGTCTACTGGAAGAATTAGACAAACAAATAGATCACAGATGCACAAATTCAGTAGTGATAAACTGAACTGACTGCTATGAAGACACGACAGAGGAGGAAAATACCTGAGGGACTCACCTGAGGAAAATCCTCTGTGAACAGGTGAGTTTAGTCTGAAGCATGAGGGTTGAACTTGCGAGGAGGGCGAGAGCGCTGTCCTGAATGAGGGACAAGAGCCTGCGGCAGGTGCACAGGTAGACCGTGTGGCTGGGGGACAGACAGGGAGGAGGGCGAAGGTGAAGTGAGAGGCAGAGCCCAGAAGACTGGATGGAGAACCTCTAAATCTGCAAAAAAAAAAAAAAAGATATTTTTTAGAAACAAATTTAATTACTTACTCAGCTCTTTTTCTGAATCAAAAAACATTTTTATGTCTCACTAGCTTATGTGTCATAATAAAAGAAAAGGAGACTGTTCAAATCCTTTCAAAAGTCAAGCTTTAACACTGAGACATTTAAATGAAGAAAATGAGCCTTTCCCCCTAAATGCACACCCTACAAGTTAAGTGTACTGAATGCTCACTGTCTATTTAAAGAAAAAAAATGCGAATAAAAGATTGCTTTACCATAAGAATCATTACTGCAGGAAATTTCCTTTAATATTTCTATTTGTCACTTTCTTTAAAAGGCTTTCTTAAGTTGGAAAAATTCCATGGCCCTGGAAGCAGCAGAGACGTGAATACATGTGCATGAATACAAGAACATGCATGTTCTTCCCAGATACGGGAAGACGATGAGGAGACATGGGAAATGAATTAAAATGCTTGTCACCTAGTGGATTCCGGGCAGAGGGCAGTCTTTAAGACCCAGCAGCATAGTATTTGTCTGGAGAGGAAATGTTGCTTTTTGACAGATGAGAGAAATCCCCTTAGTGCTGGCTGTGGGAAGAGAGAAGTGCAGTCAGTCACCTGGTGGCGAAGGCCAGTAGAACAGCAAAGCAGGAAGGAAAAATTTTCTCTCTCTGGCTTTCTCTCTCTCTCTTTCCTCTCCTCTGTAGGAGCCACCTCCTATGTTCCCAACTCTTTTAGCATAACCTTCCAAGGAGAACGCTTCCTTCAGACTTTATCTTCTTTTCTCCACTGAGAGAATACCTCTCGGCTGCAAGACATTTTTTTAAGTCTTCTGCAGGACTTCGGGGATTTGGTGATCTCGCCAGAGACACTGAGAGCACTGCTGAAGCCTGGGACTCACAGGGTGCGAAATTAGCTCCCCGAGTCAGCCTGGCGGAGGAAGGCTTTCATCATAGACACTTCGCTCCAGTTTGAACACATTTGCTTGAAATTTGCCGCATGATGCTGTCCAGGGGAGCCGCTTTTTTTCTTGGGATGCAGCAATTCGCTGGTTTCTAAGCTTATTGCAGAAGAAGTAATCTTAAATAGCGTGGATTCCCCCCCCCCCGCTCCCCACACACACACACCCCACCCTTGCTTGATTCAACTGAGCTGCGTTGCACCACGGTCAAGATCACCTGTCACTAAATTTTTGAGGAAGTAAAACAAAGTGAATTATAATTATCGTTTATTTATTTTCATCATTTTTAACCGGTGGAGGCGGCGTGATCACGGAGATGCGACTGAGAGGAGCTGCCGGGGCTTGGAGGAGGATAAAGCTGAGTTTAGGCTGGAGACTGAAAGACTAGATTGTGTTTCGGTACAACTTGCCCGGTTCCTCTCCACTTCCTCCAGTTTCGCTCCATGGACAGATCAACAAGCCTGGACATCGAGGAGCTCAAGGTACGTGGTCCTCCGGACGGCTCCGTTCCTTCCTCTCCGGCGCTCCCTGCTCTTTCCTCTGCTCTCTTTCTTTTTTCTCTGCCTCTTCCTCGCGCTGCTGGAATAGTTGGTGGCCCCGTGGGACGGCCAGGGGGCTCTTGGAGCGAAGCGTCCCCGAGCGCAGGCACCCTTCCCAGGGTCGAGGACGTGGAGGGCGGCTTTCCGGAGTGGCTGGCGCGCCCGGGCTGGGCTCCCCTCCCTGCCGGCTCCTCCCGACAGCAGTCACCCTGTCCTCCGGTTCAGTTACAGCAGCACTTAGGGCACGAGACCCGGCGCCGCCGTACCCTCGCTCCGGGCAGCGTGGCGGTGGCAGCGCAGTCTCTGACCGCTGTCGCCTGGCTGCCCGGCGAAGTTGCCCCAGCGGGGCGGCCACCCTGCCTCCTCTGGCCACTCCCGGAGCGCTTCTGCCCCGGCCTGCACGGGGACAGCCTATTTCCGCTGGGAGATTCACGGCCGCTTATTCCATTCCAGCACTTAGCCAGACCCTCTCTCCCCCCGCGGCTGGCCAGGTCTCACCCACAGTTGCGTGGCCCTGGGTGCGAACTCCTGCTCGAGAACATCCCTGGGGGGGATGGGGTGGGGAGCGGATAGACTGGCAGCACGTGAGAGGACTGGAGAGGTCCCCTGCTGGCCCAGGCGATGCCGGCACCCAGGACCGTGGTCTCTGACGGTCCTGGCGTGGCAGCGGGTCTAGGAAGTGGGGAGGAGGCTAGAGCTGGTCTGGGCTGCGGGGTGGGGGCCCGGATAGTCGCCTGGGCAGGCTCCCTGTGTCCCTTTCCCCTGCTGTCGGAGCACACTGTCCCGCACCAGCTCGGAGCCCCCGCTGCCCACCCGGGTACCCCCACTGCGCCCCCTCCCTCCAGGGTCCCTGCTCAGCTGCGAGGGGCTGGCTGGGGGGAACGTACAGACTGACAGTTTACCCCTCTGCCTGTGGGGTTTACCCACTGCTGCCTGCAATGCTTGTTTAAAACACACACACACACACAACAACAAACCAGAAAATAATTTAAATGTCCCGCTCACTGGAAATGAAAAAGCGGGAAGGGAACATCCATCCTTTTATACTCGTCACCCTTCCTCATCACTAGGCATTTTCTGCACTCTAGTATGTTGCTTCCAAGTTTATTCATCTATTATTAGAGATTCAATCCAGATGGACTCTTTGTTCAGGTGAGGATTTTAGTCACCCTTACCCACTGGGGAAACTTGACCAGTAGAGGTTTTCCCGGAAATGTCAGAGGAATGCATTTGCCCAGTAAGCTGAGGGCGTTGGAGAAGTCCCCTGTGCAGGGCCAAAGGCTCCATCTGCAGCCGGCTCTCTGACCCTGCCACGGCCACGGAACATGCCCAGCCCAGGAACCCCGTTCTCCTGGCATGTGGGGCCCAGGTTTCCTGCCCAGGTGCTCTGATTACTCAGAAGAAGGGAGAAGGGACGGAGCAATGCCGTCTGGTGTTGGGCTGATGCAGGTGAAGGCGGTGGGGAGGGGAGGATCAGAACTTACCTGCCACTTCATTAAGACTCTGGGTTCGCTGGAAAAAGGGAAGTAGAGATGAAGCATATTTGCTCCTCCAGTTAAAGCTGGGGAACAACAAGTTTCTGTTATGGCTAAGGTTGCAGTCAATTAACCTTGGCCTGGAATAGAGACCTCCTGTTATCCCTGTACCACACTGACATAGGACACATGGCATTTGTGTACCAAAGGATCCTTTGCTCCCTTCTCCCAGCCATCCCAGTCACTGCGTAGGTTCTGAGGTGCAAAGAACACAGGTCTGTGATGTATATTTCATGCTAGGCAAAGTCTCTAGATTATTTTTTTGTTAAACATAGGGTATGGCACAGAGGAAAGCTGTTTGCGAGAAATGGAAGGGAAAATGATTAGGGATCATCATTTCCCCTGATATCCTATTAGTTGCCTACTAGTTTATTCCCCACTGAACCCTGGCCCCACTTAAATGAGTCGAAGATCAAACCCACTGTGGAAACTTATGTCAACTTTAGAAGAAGATCCTAGCTTAACCCCAAAACCACATTCAGATTCTCACAGCCAGGGTGTGCCAGGCTTTGGGGAGGAGCAGCAGAGGATGGAAGTGGAAAGGACTTGGGTGTAAGGGTCTGCACTGGCAATGACTGGGAAGACACAAAAGGTGTTAGAGGCAAAGATCTGTTGAGGTTGCTGAAAAGTTATGTCGGGGCAAGCCCCTGCTGAGAGTCAAAACTGGCAAGAAAGGAAAGGTAGTCAAGCTTCGTGTAAAAGAAAAATGAGAGCTTCCAGTTAGGGAAATAAATTTGTGTTGTCAGGTTTGACTACCCTTGTGGAACACGAAGGCTCTGGAACACCTGCACTCTGGCACGTGTAGACTTTGTGCAGGTGGGCCACCGCGTGTGGAAGACCTCACCTGGCTTTCCTCATACCAGCAGAGTCCGTTGGCTTGGGTTTTGTAGACAGTTCCCCTGGAAGTTATTCTCTGGTGGCGTCTTGCTGAGGAGACCCTCATGGTGGTCAGCAGAGAGGGGCAGGGGGCGGGGAGAGCTAGGGATACTTACTGTTGACATGAGTTCCTTGTTGACATTTCTCCCATGCTCCAAGGATGCTTCCATTAAGGCCAGTCCACATAAGAACTTTTGTTTTTGTGATGCTTTAAATGACATGAAAAGAAAACCAATGTTCACTGAAATTGGATAAACAAATAAGTGTACATGAGAATACCATTTGGCTTAATTTTAGACCACTGGCGTCATTAGTTGGTAAAGTTGCTTACCTTAGGTTTTAGGAAAGAAAGATTAGGCTAAGGCTTTATCTTTTCAGTAAAGTCTCTTCTCTTTAGGAGATTTTAAACAGAAATATACATTCGTTGTGCTGCGTGTATGAACATCAATTTTTAAAAATATTCTGTTCAGTCAATGGTGTTGTTTTTTGCAAGTTTTTAAACTGAAAATAAGGTTTAATAATGAAGTGTTAAGCCATGGCTGCCATTATCACAGAACTGAACATACTCTGCATATTAAAAGATTTACTGCTGGGAAAGTAAAATATAGTTACGTGTGCAGGACTTGCTAATGAAGGTGAGCGTGTTTCATCTTCTGGTCTTCACTCCAGTGCCTGATGAAACAGGTCGGTGCTGAACAGGGAGAGAGTGCTCATCCAAAGAATTTCTGTCTGTTCCTTTCCCTTTGATCTCTGTCTCTCTCTTTTGCCAATAAATGTGTAAACTTTGCCTGGATTTTGCCCTGGTGTTTGTTTTAAAGAAGAAACAACATCAAACAACACAAAATATGGGTTACTGCTTTGGAAATGTGGGTGTTAATGAATACTGATGTTAGATAAAATGCCCTCTATCGGAATCCCTCTGAGTTATTGAGCTCTTTGAGGAGTTGGTATTTCAAATAATCACTTTAGCTTTTATTTTAGCTCTGTTGTTGTCCCCTCTTTTAAACAATGTATACATACGATGGCCTGGAACAGAGAACGCTGCTAATTTCTAGAGCTAACACTTATAAATTTGCTTTTTGTAGCACTTATTTATGAGATAGTAGGCTGAGTAAATGGGTATATTTAAATATTGCACATGACTTTGATGATTCTTTAACTGAGCTTTTGAAATACAAGTGTTAATTCACTGTATTAGTTTGGCAATCGAGAAAGTATTCTTTCAGATGCTAGGTGTATATTTGTAGGTAGTTGTAATTTAAGATCAAAAGCATAAAACACAAAATTGAGCAGCACAATTTTTGCAATGTTGTTTGATCCTGGTGTTTACTTATTTGTCAGGACTGTTGCTTTAATGGAATGAATGGCTAGAAGTTAAAATGGGTGTTTTTATTACTTGCAGAATGTAAACAATATCCTTCTGAAATGCATTCTTAATTATCATTTTGGAAGATACAGAAATTATAAACTATGTAGTAGACCCTGAAATGCATAAAACAACTTTTCAATACATGTAATTGTATTTGTTTGAGTTAATTAAATGTAGTCCAGTCACTGATGCTTAATATTATCTCTCTGATAAAAGTAAAATTTCATCTATTAAGAACTTGACACTTGCCCTAGATAGACAAGAAAAAGCTTCCCAGAATAATACAATTAGGTCATTAAGAAAGTTGCATGGGTGGGAAATAATAATCTAGCAAAAAAAAATTGCATAGGTCTTTTAACAAGTGGTTGATTCAAAATTGCTGAGGCCTTAAACCAAGTCTCATAGTGCAGTCATCTATAATTTCAATCAAATAAGAGAGTTGGTGCTTAGGAGAATTCTAAAAAAAATTCTTTTCATCAATAAGATACTCAGCCCAGGAAAGTCAGGCTTGCTGCAGTGTAGGAGGCGTTATGATGAGTATAAGTAGGTGGTATTTTTTGCTAGTCATCCCATAGTGAAAAATAGTACACTCTAACAAATGTCATATTTTTAGCAATCTGCCTTACATATTCATTTCTTGGCTTAGAAGAAGGAAACATATTTGTGGATACTGAATGATTTGACCTGTTTCACATCTAGAAGAATTAAAACTTCCTTCCATCCAGGTCTAGTTCTAATTCTCTTCTGGTAAGAGGACCAGTCATGAAGATGTACCAACAGTTAACCTTGATTTCTTTGTATTCAAAGAATAGGCTTGTTGCATTGAAGTTGAAATGAATTGCAAGTAGAAGTAGTGATACATGCTTTTTTAATGCAGTTAGGAGCAGTGAGGGAACACTTTTGATATGAGTGGAAAAGAATTAAGAAAAATACGTTTGAGTTAAGTTGTGCAAATGACTGCTAAGGAAATCATTAGTGGCCCACTGTCATCACTAGCATGTATTCCAATCTCCACACTGGCTATTGGAGCTTTGCTGATCTACAGACTTTACCAGTTGAAAATACATCAAATTTTGAAGGTCCACTTAAAAGAATATTTGAAGATTTATGGATTCAAATTCACAGCTCTACAAGATGGCTTAATGCTGTAAGACAATAATAAA